AAACACTGATTAACTGATTTCCTTATCCAGCACATATTTATTTAGCACTTATGTGATAACGTAATCAAAAATCCCTTCTCCTAGGGGCGCCTGGCTGGCTCAGCCCATAAAGCATGGGATTCTTGATCTTGGGGTCTTGAGTTCAAGTCCCACGTTGGGCATGGAGCCTACTTAAAAAAAAAAAAAAAAGCTGGAAAAATCTCTGCTCCTTGTGGAACCTATATATTCAGGTTTGTGGAGACAGATATAAAAATATATAAATCTTTTGCCCAAAAACCTGTAAACGCATAATATTTCGGAGGATGTGAAGAGCTTGGAGAGAAGAGGTTAGATCAAGAGGAAAGAGAGTTGGGGGCATCCAGAAGCAGAGGGCGCCGCTCCTTTAGCTGTGTTTGGCTTGCTGTGTGAACTGGAAGTGAGGTGAGAGAATGAGTCGTAGAGGTACTTTGGAGGAAAGTGTTCTGGGCTGAGGGAACAGAGCTGGGTGAGGCCTTGTCGGGGCCGGCGGCAGGAGTGGAGGTGGTTTGCGTGTGTGTGAGGAGGGCAAGTGAGGGGGCTGGGGAGGGAGGCTTGAGGATGCAGAAGAGGAGGGAGGAAGGGAACCGGATGGGCCATGTCGGACCTAGGTGAGAGGGGAAACCCCAGGGGAGGGAGGACATTCATGGACTTGTTTTTAGTAGGCTCATGTGGCTGATGTGTGGCTAGTGGACCGTAGGGCATAAGAAGGAGCTGAGAGCGGGCAGGGGGCTAGTGAGTGGTGGCCGGGGTGGTGGGTGATGCTGGCTTGGACCAGGGCACCCAAAGGAGCTGGGGTAACGAAGGCTTGTGGCTTCATGATAACTCGAATACCTGGTAATCAAGGTTTGTCTTTTTTTTTAAATCTGATGACCTTTTATTTTTTTTTATTTTTATTTTTTAAATATATTTTTTTAAGATTTTATTTATTTATTCATGAGAAACAGAGGGAGAGAGAGAGAGAGAGAGAAGCAGAGGGAGAAGCAGGCTCCCAAGGAGCAGGGAGCCCGATGCGGGACTCGATCCCAGGACCCCGGGATCGTGACCTGAGCCAAAGGCAGACCCTTAACCATCTGAGCCACCCAGGCGCCCAATCTGATGACCTTTTAATCTGGTGTTTGAAAAGAGGGAGAGCGTGCGACATCATTGATTTAATAAAATAAAGGGAATGTGTGTGATGCTTCACTGTTAAAGATGTTTGTATAAAAGTACAAAATTTTAGCAATTCTAGTTTCAGATATTGATTGTCGTTGCACTGAAAATATATTTTAAAGTGCAGACCCTTCTCGAGATTTTGATATATTTTATTAGTGCTTTTCACTAAACACAATATTAGTCTTAAGTACCCTAAGAAAGGACTGTGGCCAAGGGGCTTACCTAGATGACACTAAGTTATTGTCTGAGGCTGGTGAAAGACACTGGCTTTCACACCAATCCATAGAAAAGTAGGAGGCAATATTATGAAAGATAGAAAGATTATTCAAAAGCTGTGTTCCCACTGGATCTGTGGAAACCACTTGGAACTTCTCCAGACATGATTGAAACAGACAGTGGTATACTGCCACCTAGGGTAAGAGTTTGGGTCTCAAGGAAATTTTGAAAAAGGGTGAGGTGATGAGCACTGGGTGTTACACACAACTGATGGATTAACTGAATACTACATCTGAAACTAATGATGTACTCTCTGTTGGCTAATTGAATTTAAATTAAAAAAAAGTAAAAACTAAGGCTCAAAGCAACTTGAAGTGAACACAATTCATGGCATTTTATTGAGCATTCCGTGGTGTTCTAAAACATGGCATAAGACATTAGTATGTTTGGTATTTATAACTTTAGTGACCGTATTTTCTGAACTAAAGATCAGTTTTATAATTGATTTCTTCTGATTTGTATGAACATTTTTCTGAAGTATAAGAAGATTTAAAAAAAAAACCCACATGAAATTACACCCCTAACACACTGCATTTGTCGGAAGTTGTATTGAGTGAGGGTGTTCTAGAGGCTCCGGGCTGGGTGGTCAGTGGTCCCAGGGCTCTGCTTCCCTGGGCTTTCTATTACAGTGGCCCTTTTTCCAGGCTCCTGAGTCCCAAGCTGCGGATTCACCTCTCCCACCTGTCAGCTGCCCTAAGAAAGGGAAGAGAAGGAAACTACCATTCTTTTCTACTTGCCTGAATTACATTATTTCCAGAGGACTGACCCTGTGGTCAGAGATGGGAGCAAGTTTAGATAACCACCAAGACTTCCCTTCCGTGCTAAAGGACAGCCTTCTGTTATTGACCTTGGCACGAATAGATTTGCATTTCAAAATTGAATGATAGTTTTTAAGTTCCATATGAGCTTTGACACACATATTTGTTTTGGAATATTTATCATAATTTTTGGAAATGGACTTTGATTTGCTTACCTAAGAAGTAAGGTTTGGTACCTCCAAGTGAAAATGAATTAAAGTAAATTGAAATAAAGTTTCTGGCATGTGAACTACAGCTTTTTTTTTTACCCTTTTCCCCCCCCAGGCTTTCTTGGGTTTCTAGAGAACTGATTAATTTATGTGCTTTAGTTTTCTAGCTAATTCGGTATAATCCAGTGGCTAAACGAGAATACCCTGTATTTATATAATTTTCTGTCCATTTCAGTGCTTTAACTTGTTGCCACCTATTTGTGTACTGTGAATGTTTTGGGCAAAAATGGTTTGTGAACAGAAGAGAATGGGAAGCACAGAGATTTCTCCTATTTCTAGGAGTCCCTAGTCAAGATCTTTATAGCCTCTTCCTGCTTTTAATAATTTTATTCCCCAGTACCGGAGATTTCTTTTCTTTTTGCGGGGGGGGGGGGAGTGAGAGAGGAAGGGAGAGCATCTTAAGCAGGCTCCACACCCAGCGCAGAGCTGGATGGAGGTGGGGGCTTGATCTCACGACCCTGAGACCATGACCTGAGCTGACATCAAGAGTCGGACGCTTAACCGACTGAGCCACCCCAGGTGGCCTGAGTACTGGAGATTTTTGATTACTTTAGCAAATTTATTTTTCGGGTCTGTGAGAGATACTGGGTGGGAAAAGACATAGAGTGGTGTTGAGGGATTGTTTAGGAACTGGAACTGTAGCCAAGTTTGGAATATGAGTTTTAACATTTCTATTGTGATTCTTAATGGATTCAGTTCAATAAAAAGACTGGGATATGATGAGACTTTACTTTCAAGTATCAACTGCAAAAAAATAGACTTAGAAAATGATGTCTATTCCTAATAAGTTATTTATAATGAAATCCTCATCAGGCTCCTCTTTGTCACTTTTCAGCTGTACAAAGAAATTGAAATTTGTCCAAAAGTCACTCAGAACATCCAGATTGAGAAGTCAGATACGGCCAGTGATAATTACGGTACGTTTATTTTTCTTTGATCTCTGGTGTTTTTCAAGTTAAAGCAATTCCTGTGTAAACGTGCACTTACTTACAATTCAGTAAAATGCCTTTGGGGCCTATTTAAAACAGCACATCTGGCTTCTGTACTAGAAACAGAGCAGTCAAAGTCAGGAAAAAAGAGGTATTTACTGTGGGTACGGTGAAAACTTCAGCCTAAATTTCATAGCCTTAATCAGCGGGGTTCAACTGTCATAAAAAGGAAATGCTTATATTGGGAACAGATTACTTTATCTTGTGGTATACCCTTAATAATGAAGAAATTATCTTTTCACACCTCTCTCCCTCAAATATACTCATTATTCTCCCTTCCCCAATGAATCATGTTAAAAGAACTCATTTTGGTGTTGTGGGGGGAGGCGTCCCCAAGACCACCCCTAGATTTGCTGATTCACTAAGAGGACCTGTAGGACTCAGCTTATAGTCCTACTCATGACCATGACTTACTACAGGGAAACTGTACAAAGCGACATCAATAAAGGGGAAAGGCACATGGGGTGACGTCTGAGGAAATGGGGTACAAGCTTCCAAGAGACCCCCAGTCACACAGGACGGCCTTAATTCACAAGCGGACAGCGCATGGGGTCTGTGTCCAGTGGGGAAGCTTGTTGGAGACTCAGTGCCCAGTCAGTCACAGACACCCTCTGCCCAGCGTGTACCAAAGCCTCGGACTCCCAGGCGGAAAGCAGGTGTTCAGCATAAACCACATTATTTGTACACATGCGAGGCCCAGTGGGCCTCGTGAGGGTGTTGGGAACCCACCCAAAATCCAAGTTCCCGGATGCCAGCCAGGGGCCAAACTTGTAAGCAGGCCTTTCAAAGACCAATAGTCAGCGTTGCCATGTTAACGCTTTTCCACACAGTTGCCCGCATTCTGGCATAGTTGAATATATCATCCCTTCCATATGTTTCAGACTACTTAGGTATGATTTGAATAGCAATGGAGTTGGTGCTTGAGTAGAAGACGTGGGGAAATCCATCCTGTGATATTAGTCAGGAGTGGTGGGGTTGGCTGAGGTAGCTCCAAACAGGGAAATGTGCTTCCTAAATTCACCACGCATCCTTTGTGGGTTGGCTGGGACTCTTTATGTTGTCCTCCCTCTGGGACACGGGCCACAGCGGCTGCCACCTGGGGCATCGTCCGTGTCTTGGCAGAGGGAAAGAGAGAAGGTGGTAAGCCAGGTACTGGTGCACCCGATGGTTTATTGTTAGAGCAGGGCGCACGGCCCCCAGCTTCCTCCAGGGGGCAGAGAAGCGTAGCCCTGCTCTGTGCAGGAAGGAAGAGGTCCTGGAAAGACATGAGCCTCCTGTATCTGCTCATTTACAGTTTCTCTCTGAATTAAGTTATTTGGCTTTTTAGCATTTGAGCATCTTCAAATCCTTTCTTGAGCAGCGGGAATAGCAGAGTCCTTCTGCACTCGCTCCCACAGGCGCCCAGTCTTCATCTCCGAATGCTCCCGAGATGATTTGGCTTAATGAAGAGAACCTAATTTTGAACCCCGGTCACTTGCATGACACCTTCCTGCTCTTTCCTTCTTGACCCTAAAACTAAAGACATCATAAACCCAGAGGGCGTTTTTTGATGGCAAAGGATAAATGTCTGTGAAGGAGGGCTTATTATGCATCAGAAGTGTGACCTTGGTAATTAAAACAGTAATGGGTAGCAGTGCTATAAATAAGTGGGTTCTCCAAAGGAAGATGCACCATGAAACTTACTCTTTTCTCTTTAAGCAGCAAGAAGCAGGAGAGGGTGAATTTCAAGCTTCTGATACGGAACTCTAAGGTTGACTGGTACTTGGACTCAGAAACGGGGCATAAAACTGCTATACTTGTTAGATTTTTTTTTATTGACATGACAACCCATTTACATTTCCACGCTGAAGGTGTTACAGCGCGTCGGGCATCCACCCAGAATGTCTTGTCAGCAGTGCTTCTCAAACTATCTGATGTTAGTCCTAAAGAAGCAGGGTTTTTTGTTTTGTTTTCAATTCCAATCTGCTATGGACCACCACCGCTTTTGTAAACTACGAAAGCTCATGCGTGGAGGTGTGCCAAGGTCACACGGCGGGGTTCTCAATACTTAGTCTCAATTTCTGTCCTCACATGACTGTCAGCAGCCAACTGTACTGGGATCCTGGACTGCACTTTCTAGAGCCTGCTATGTGTGGCTCATAACCTTAGCTCGACCCTTTATTCTGAGGGCCCAGTTCATGTTGGCGTAAGGCCTTCCAATGGCGTATTGATTGGAGAAGTTAAAGAGTCCCCCAATCCTAAGAGACCTGGTTGCCTCCGACCTCAGAATGACCAAGGATTCTAAATTCAGCGCATCTGTACCTAACACTAGCACCCAGCAAGTGTGGCTTCCTGCTGTATATTGAGCTCAGTATATATTGGGTGCGGTAAATGTCAAAGTTACCAGCACGCACCAATGCACAAAAAGCTAACTACAGGGCGCCTGGGTGGCTCAGTCATTAGGGTCTGCCTTTAGCTCAGGTCATGATCCCAGTATCCTGGGATCGAGTCCCGCATCGGGCTCCCTGCTCCTTGGGAGCCTGCTTCTCCCTCTGCTTCTCTCTCTCTCACGAATAAATAAATAAAATCTTTAAAAAAAAAAGCTAACTACAGACCACCTGCTGTCTTCTATCTTGGAACACTTTAGGGAGGGAAATAGCACTTAATAATCCAACTGACTGAACCAATGGAAAGATCCGACGCTTCCTTAATTTCTCCCAGTTGCCTTTCCCGCCACCTGAGCCTGCAGGTTGTTTGCAGACCTTGTTGAAATTAATTCAGATAAGGTTGCGAGATTAAGCATGATCGCCTCGGCCACCTTGAAGTGGAAGGACGCATCATTTAAGGAACACCCGTTCCTTTTTCTCCAGGGACTTCCGCTGTTGTGTTTCTGGTCGTGTGAACCATTTCAGTCAGAGGTGTCTCCCCTTGTCCCATTCTCTGAATTTCGCTATATCCTGGAATCTGATTTGGGTACTTCCCTGATGTCATGATTTTTCTTTGGCTATAGATTTTAGTATGAGGAACCTTCTGGTTGTTCATCACAGGACTTTGTCTCCTTGGTTTCTTTTCTTAGTTTTAATCACTTCATTCTCGAGAGCATTATTGCCACTCATAGTGCCTCCTCATCTTTGTAACTGAGAGCCTTCTGATGGGGTGGGTACATTGGGTTTATATCCAGTAACTCCCTCTGCCTCCCGTCGGCAATCATTTGGGGGCTGTATTACATTTGTTGGTCAGGAATTAAGATTATTACTCTCCTAGGGGCACCTGGTTGGCTCAGTTGGTTTAAGTGACTGCCTTCGGCTCAGGTCATGATCCTGCAGTCCTGGGATCGAGCCCCACATCGGGCTCCCTGCTCAGCAGGGAGTCTGCTTCTCCCTCTGACCCTCCCCGCTCTCATGCACTCTCTCTCTCAAATAAATAAATAAAATTAAAAAAAAAAAAAAATGGTAACAACCCAATTAAAAAGAAAAAAAAAATCCCGACTTTGCTGATTAACTGTTAAAATCACTGTGTTCTTCAGTGACCTCAAAATAATCCTGCTGTAGGATGTACCATATTTTCTTTATATTTGTCAGTGTAGGAGATGGGTATTATCCCCCTTTTCCCGAGTGTGCTCACTACTGGCATCTTGAAATGGAGGCTGCTCTTGGGGACTCTGAGGGCCCTAGGTGGTGTCTGCTGCTTAGCTGAGTGTGGGGAGAGCTGCCTTTCTGAATGCCAAGAGGGGCTCCTGTCTGCTTGACTCCTCAAACAGGTGTCTTCTGATATGAATTCCAGCACAGAACTAAAGTGCTGTTTACCTTTGTGCATGTTGGCTTCCATTTGCCTGATCTTCCAGAAAAAATTGCTAAAGCTTTCTTCAGCAATCCTATCACAGAGACTCCCCCACCACCTTGAGGGGTCCAATCTGTTTCTCAGAGCCATGCTTGCCCAGTGCCAATTTCATAGTCAACTGTAGTCTTTGTTATTATCTTTTGGTTATTAAAAAAAGGAGACCAAGGGGCGCCTGGGTGGCTCAGTTGTTGGGCGCCTGCCTTCGGCTCAGGTCATGGTCTGAGGGTCCTGGGATCTAGCCCCGCGTCGGGCTCCCTGCTCGGCGGGAAGCGTGCTTCTCCCTTTCCCACTCCCCCTGCTTGTGTTCCCTCTCTCGCTATATCTCTCTCTGTCTAATAAATAAATAAGATTTTTAAAAAAAATAATAAAAAAATAAAAAAAGAAGACCAAGAAACGAGGGAATAGGGGCAAAGAAATAGCTCAGCCGTCTCCACTGACTTTGGCTGAAGGAGGCTTGGAGCAGGCTCTTCACCATCCCCTGTTCTGGTATCTTCCATTCAGGCGCCTTGTCCCCTGGCACCTTGTGATTTGCTGCTCACTTTAGTTTTAACAGAAAAGGAAACGTGGCCTCAAAACGTTATAGAATCACAGCATTTCAGAAAGGAGATGCCTGTATTTTAATGGATCTTGTCTATTCTTTTTCTTGACCTAGCGCCTGAGTCTGCATCTGTTCGAACAGATAAGGAGAAAAAATTTCTGTACTGAAACGCAGATAGATAGACCTGGGTTAAGGCCTAATGTCCACTTCGGTAGCTCATGTATAAAATGGTTTTTACTTGAGTGAGGCTTCTTGAAACGTAATCGGAAAGTTGCAAGTTGCTGTACGAATGGAATTCAAAATAGAGTAAAATGAAGAGCGGAAAGTCCTCAGGGTGTGGCCTGTGCTGTCCCCATCTGAGGGAGTTATGGTACCGGAGTGGGCGAGGACAGTTGGTAGTTTTGCCCATGTGTGGGTATTTTTTCCTGGTCCTGTGAACGAAACAGAAAAACACATACTCATTATGACATGTCCTGAAAAGTCTTGATGACTCCCTGGGTCCCCATCCTGTAATCAATTCTTGTATTTTGTTGTTATTTGCTTATTTGTTCTTTAAAACCAGTGTGTTTTTTTTCTGCCTTCAGCCTTAAGGTAAGTACCTATATTAGGGATTATTCTTTACCCAGACCTGAAATTATCTCGGATTTTTACAGCTGCATTCATTCCCATTGGTCCTTTAGGGGTGTTTGCCAATGTCTTTTACTTGAGGGTAAAGAGGTTATTGGTTGGGATGTTCCACTGATGGATCAGGAAAGAGGGTTTTTTTGTTTTGTTTTGTTTTGTTTTTGTTTTTTAAAGTAATCTCTACACCCAACGTGGGGCTCAAACTCATGACACTGAGATCAGGAGTCAGATGCTTTGCTGACTGAGCCCACCAGGAACCCCTGTCAGAAAAGAGTTATAGTGAGACTGTCTAGAAACAGAGGTGACCAGGGCTTATAGCCACAGGGTCGGGAGCACCTCAGATCCCCAAACCACCTGCAAGCTCAGGGCCTTGTTCTGCCCTTTGTTTCTGAAGGGTGTAACAACCCCAGGATTAATTAGCTGATGGTCTTTGGGCTCTGGAAGCCTTGGCTAGGTAATAAGATGATCTTATGATCACACACTAGTAGAATGTGGAATCAATCCATTTCAATAGAAAATAAGATTTGTCAAGTGAGTTGCTACTTAATCCCCATTGCAGAATTCTATTAAATCAAACTAGTGTCTGCACAGCAGTACATATGGTGGAACACACACCCACACACCGTACATTTGTTCAGTTGTAACATATCGTAGGACAAGGACTGGCTGAGAAAAGCCAAGAGGACCCAGGCGAGATAAGCTGATCATTCTGTTTGTGCTGTGGAAGGGACAAGGAAAAAGATAAAGTGATGGCATTTACTTGTCTTCTACTTGAACTGATAGGTAGGTCGTATGAGGATAGATGTACCGGGTAATGTTAATTTTTATCAGCAGTGACTTTTTTTTAGAGTCATCTAAAATACATTTTTCTGCTTTGTAAAATAATATGAACAAGGAAAAACAATTGCTCCAAACTGTTACCAGAAACACTGAACATACGTTGTTCACAGCAGGTACTTCCTGTTGTTTGGTAAACATTCAGAAGGTGTGAGCCCTACCATCCTGGCTTCGTGTTTTCTAGGGTTTTCACTTTCCTCTGTGGAAGAAGATGGTGTTCGAAGGCTCTACGTGAATAGTGTAAAGGAAACTGGTTTAGCTTCCAAGAAGGGTAAGTCATTGGCTGTGTTGTCTGTTTGTCTGTCTGCCTCTCTTAAAATCACCTTGGGGTGTCTCTGGTTGGTGGATAAGAAAGATATGCCCCAAGAGTTCACCTGTGCAGATTATTCGAACCTTGTCTCATTGAAAACCCTTGCAGGGAATATGGATATTATTCTCTAAACTCAGGTGTATAAGAAGTGTCACATTCTTGGATTTTAAATCTGATTCTGAGCCCATGTCCTTGGGGCAAGTGGGAAATTCCATTCTGATCTGATGTGGTTGTCCTTCTCTACCGTCTAGGGTGGTATGGAAGTCCTAGGGGTTTTCCTGAAGCAGAGCATTAGGAGCCTGCAAAAGTCCTTCAAAGTGGATGTCGTCTTGCTCCCACTGATGGAGGAATCTTTGCAGAAGTTGGGGAACCTGAGGGTTCAGGATCCTGTCGTCTTGCCCCACGTAAAGAGCTCTTCTCTGCCACACCCCGCCTGTAGCCCTACAAGGGCTCACTGGAGTCTGGGTTACTTGTGAAACCCCAACTCTCTTTCCTCGTTCTGCTCAGAGAGAATCTTTTCAACCTAGATTTTTTTTTTTTTTTTGCTTCCTGTGATGGTTTCCTAGGGCTGCAGTAACAAATTCTCACAAACTGAGTGATTAAAAACAACAGAAACTTACGCTTTTATATATGGTTCAGGAGGCCAGAAGTTCAGAATCAGGGTATGGGCTGTTTCCTTCTGGAGCCTCTGCGGGAAGAATCTGTTCCATGCCTCGTCCTTGCTTCCAGTGGTTGCTCGTGGTCCTCGACACTCCTTGGCCTGTGGCTGCCTCCCTCTAATCTCTGCTCTGTCGTCATGTGGCCTTCTTTTCTGTGTTTTTCTGTGTCTTTACATGGCCTTCTTAGAAGAATACCGGTCATCGCCTTAAGGCCCATCCTAATCCAGAATGATTTTATCTTAACTTAATGACCTCTGCAAAGACCGTGTTTCCAAATAAGCTCACCTTCTGATATTTTGGGTGGACATGAGTTTTGGAGGACCCTTTCCAGCCTACCATACTTAGCATAAACACATCAGACAGGTAGGCAGGGCTCAAAACCCACCTTCCTTTCATTCTCCTCGTTACGGAATTCTTAGTTTCATCCGGGCAGCGGCAAAATCATACCTGCTGAATGGAGAAGACCAAAACATCTGGGTCAGTTGGCCTTAGATGTAATGCTGTTTGAGGGCTGCTGAGCGGAGCAGCCGAGGAAATGGTGGAGTGCCCTACCTTGCCACCTCCTTCCATTCTGGGGACAGCTTAGCTCTGGGTGTTCATGACTTACGAGCCACCGAAGCAGGTTACCTCCCCCTGTGCTGTAAGCTGTGGAGAAGAGCAGCCTGCAGACTTGACTATGCACAGAAATGGCAAAAGCGTGACAAATGGGAAATAAAGTCAAAGTCGTTTATCTGCTGCTCTCACAGAGGAGGATTTTCCTTCCATACTTTTCAAGGCCAAAGGCAGCCTGGAGGCCGGGGTCTGACGCTATATCTCAGCTAAGAGCAGAGGTGGCAGGGCTTGTTCACCTTCAAACCCAAGGCCTGATTGTTATCTCTTGCAGCACGATGAGTGTGCCCATTGGGGGTGGGGAAATATGGTGCCTCGGCATCACTCACTTCCTGTTTTAGTTCTTTGAATCCAGGAACCCTGGTGTTAGATAAAAGCAAATGGCTGCCTGCTGCAACTCACTTGCCCCATATCGCACTGTTCTCTATAAAGAGTGATGCCCGTTTATCCACCGGGGCCACAAACGCCATCCTAATACCCGGCTTGTAGAGGGCAGTGTCAAGAAAGATATTTGGGTGGTGGGTTTTGTTGTTGTTGTTTTTTTTTAATGTTAAGTCTAGCCTCTATGTGCAGACCTCTGGATAACGGAGAGCTCACTGTGGACCATAAGTCGTCTTCACGGACATCTCTAATCAAGAAGCATTCTCCTCCTTCAGCGTCCATTCACTGTTTTACCTCATTCTTTATAGACAACCTTGGATGCCCATCACGTTCTAAGTCTTTTATTTATTTTTGGTGGCCACCTTGGGCTTTTGACTTGTCTTGAGCTAATGGTTAATCCCCCTTTAATACCCACTTACCCCTCTGTTGGATCTCCCATCAGCTATACTTAACAGAATTGACTTTTTGAACCGAAGTGTGTTCTTTTACACTTCTCTTTGATCAGCTTGGCCATGCTTGGGCCCGACCCCTTCTTGGGGTCATCTGAGGCTGGGATCTGGCATCTCCCTGGCTGTCATCGAAGAGTTTTTCTGATGGCTACACTGCATAGAGCCCAGTTGAGAAAGCCATGTGCTTCTTTCTCAGCATCTTCTAGATACTTCACTTTGCCACGGCCAGTTTATGGGCTTGCTTCTGAGCAGGCTCTGGTTTTCTGTGAGCAAGAAGAGCTTTCCATTTTCTTCTACCATGTACTAATGAGAGTTAACATCTAGTGAGATAGATCCTCAGTGTGCCAGATGCTGTGCTTAACCTCACTGAGCGCATTGTTGCTTTTACGTAGGAGGAAACTGGGACTGGGAGAGACTCAATAACATGCCCACAGTCACAGAGCAGTTACACGGTGACATTGGGACAGAAGGACCCTGGCAGGGCACCTCAGGGCTCACTCCTGCTGGGCTGCCCACATTCACATGCTAATACTGAGAATAAGTCACTCAGACAACTGCCTGGAGTCTTTTTCTCGGGCTGCCTGACAAACGACCATGAACTGGGGAGTGTAAAGCAACAGAAATGTATTCTCTCCCCATTCTGGAGGCCAGAAGTCTGAAATGAAGGTGTCAGCAGGGCTGTGCCCCCTCTGAAGTTTCTAGGATAGAGCCCCTCCTTGCCTCCTCCAGCCTTTGGTGGCTCCAAGGGTTCCTTGGCCTCCAGCAGCTTCACCCCAGTGGCTGCCCCTGGCTTTACATGTCCTGCTCCTCTTCTTTCTGTGGGTCTCTTCAAAGGACATTTGTCAGTGGCTTCAGGACCCACCGGATCATCCAGCCTGGTCTATCTCAAGCTCATGTATTTAATTACAACTGTGAAGATCCTGTTTCCAAATAAGGTCCCATTCACAGGTTTTGGGACATGGACGTATCTTTTGAGGGGTCACCGTTTATCCTACTACATACTTTGGTTCCACCATTCATAGTAAACCTGGAAATTCTTTTAAAGAAAGAAACAAACTTGGGGTGCCTGGGTGGCTCAGTCGGTTAGGCGTCTGACTCTTGATTTCGGCTCAGGTTATGATCTCAGGGTCATGAGATCAAGCCCCGCATCAGGCTCTGCACTCATTGTGGAGCCTGCTTGAGATTCTCTCTCTCTCTGTCTCCCTATGCCTCCCCCTCTAAAGGAAAAAACAACAACAAACTTACAGATGTTTAAGTCTTTTCTTCTGTTCTTTATATAACCTCCTGTAATACCTAACCAAAAGGGTTGTCTCCAAGAGAAGACTTAAAAAAAAAAAAAAACAAAACAAAAAAACACTAACTACTTTTCGCATGGGGGAAATTTTGTATTTTCAACTCAAATGCTGTCGTGCCAGAATCTTTTACCTAAAAATGGAGTGTTTAGCTTCCTAGAATCCCACCTCCATACAGAGAAAAGTATTCTCCTTTCTCTGCCATTGCCTTCCCACTCAAAATGTTTCTTGGAGTATTTTCTGATACAGGATTGATGTCAAGTAGTTTGGGAACCCGAGCACAGATGGCTGAGGGGTGTGACTCGGTGAAGCTTTGGAGTGAGAACGTCTCTCTGGAAACGCTTTTCCGAGGCATCAGGGGTGGGATCCTTGGATGCCTGAGGAGTCAAGTGGCTTCTCCTTTCTGCAATTAGTTCCCTACCTTTGCCCTTCACTCACTTCCTTTGTCAAGTTTGCTTTTCTATAAAGTAAGAGTTGGGCTCTTTTTTTTCTTCTTAGCTGAAACAATACTTTATTTCCTTTCATGTTCTGCTCTAACCTCTCCCCTTCTCAAACCACTGGCATGTTCTTTGAAACCAGGTTAAAATGCCCCAGGGTCAGTCAAAACCTCCTGTTCTTTTGGGTTGGCCTAGTTCACAGCTGGTCCTTTAGGTCCCCAACTTTGGCAGCTCCCCCAGCATGCTTTGCAAAAGCAGCAGAACCTTTGGGGACCTTCCAAAAGATGGGTGTGCGTTTTGCAAACTCAGCCTGAGGTCCTGATGTAGTTAAACAAAGGGAGGAGGGCACAAAATGATCATATTTGGTTCTGTAGAGTGTTTTGGGGATCGAGTGCTTTTCTGTGGTCGTAGCCAGAAGCAGCTCCCTGCATGCTGGTTCTCTAGCTGGTTCCGTGGCGGTGATCAAGAGATGTTAGCTGGCCGTGCCACATGTGTGTGCTGTAGCACGTGCATGTACAAAACTTACCACAGTAATCAGAGCAGTTCTACTTTTCCCCCCTCAAAACCGAAGATGGCAGCTAGGATTAGCATTTGTGAGGAGGCATTGGCTGATGCCCAGAGCATACAGATTCGGGAAGGAGTCAATGTGTTTAGTCGGTGTGTTCAGGACAGGTAGGCATGCTGTCAGATCCAAGTCCAGAACCTTCCGAAACCAAGGCCCCTGTGATCACCTGACGCTCACTGTGGAGGACGAGCACCTGTGTGCACCAGTGCCAGGGCCGGGGCTGGGGGTGGGCCTCGGCCCGTGACAAGTGAGCTCCGCGTGCCCTTTCTCGGCGCTTCTGTGCTGTTGTGATCTGACTCGCTGCCACAGCAGATGCTGCTTTTATGTGCGTGTGAAATTAAACATTTTCCGTCTCGCGTTGGCAGGCCTGAAAGCGGGAGATGAGATTCTCGAGATCAATAATCGTGCTGCAGGCACCCTGAGCTCATCTGTGCTCAAAGATTTCCTCACGCAGCCGTCCCTGGGCCTCCTGGTGAGGACCTACCCTGAGCCCGAGGGAGGCGTGGAGCTGCTAGCCTGCCCCCCGCACCGAGCAGACGGCCCCGTGGACCCCGGCGAGAGCCCCCTGGCCTTTCTCAGCAGCAACCCAGGTACGGCTGTGACATGGACCTTGGTGGGGGTGTGTGTGTATGTGTGTGTGTGTGCGTGTGTGTGTGTGTGCCACTGGACTGGAGCCAGTAGGCATAAGGATGTGTGAGTGAGATGAGCTGGTTCCTCCTGAATGCATGCTTCCTGTTAATTTCCGCAGTTCAGGGCACTTGTGTTCTTGTGGAATACGTGTTTGGTCACCAGCCAGCCTGTCCCACACGGAGAGCTTCAGCAAGCCTCTGCTGTTTGTCATTTTGGAGAGAGTCAAATGGGTAGAGGCCACCGTCTCTTGGTTGTGGATAGAGATAACAGAGCTACAGAAGGGCCAGGAATCACTGGGGCTCTGGGTCCTAGCTCTGCCGTCCACGTCACCATCCCCCACACCACCCAGCCCTGGCTTTCCTTTCCGTGTGAGAGAGGGCATAAGCCGCCCAGAGTGGAAATGCACTCAGAGCTCTCATTTGGTCAGCTGCTCTTGGGCTCCCCCAGTCTTGCGTGTGAGCCATGCCCTGCCCCGTCTGCTCACAGCTTTTCTCCCTGTCCCCTTGCAACCTCGTGCTTCTCCCAAAAGAAGCAACCAGAATGCTGCCTGCCCCCTTGAAGCCTTCCTGGGTGGGACCCAGCAGAGCTAGCTCCCTCCTCCAGGTCCCTAGGACCCTCCGAAAACATCTTTCATGTGGGCCCCAATCACATGATACTCTTCTTACTGGCTTGTCTCTCTCTTTGTCCTGAGTTTGTTTCCTGGGACTGAGCTTATGTCTTCTTCCTGTGGCTCCACAGGTACCCCATTCTTGTTCCGCGAGAGTCAGTGAATGAGTGCACCCGTCAACAGCATTATGTCACTTATTCCCGACCCCATGACCTGATTCTAGAATTGGGGTTGATTTTAGTAAGTTGGGGTTTTGGATTTATCTTGTTTTTAAAACTTGAGTTAAATTAAAATTAAAAAAAAAGTCTTTGGTTTCAAAATCTGAGGGTAGGTACTTTGAGTATTCTTGCCCTGCCATTGTTTTTCAAATTCCCTTCTGAAGTTTGGCTTGATGAGAGAAGATCACCGGCAGAAGCTTGTGAGAGTTCATTCTTTTGGTCAGCGGCTGTCGCAAGAATTTGGCAAGTTGAGGCTTCAGCAAACTGAAGGCGTCTGTTGCCGTTGACTTCCTTGAGTCATTATGCCATTGCAGTATCCACACCCCCATCAGATTTTTATTTTTTTTTTTATTTTTTTTATTTTATTTTATTTTTTTTTAAATTTTATTTATTTATTTGAGAGAGAGAGAATGAGATAGAGAGCACATGAGAGGGGGGAGGGTCAGAGGGAGAAGCAGACCCCCCGCCGAGCAGGGAGCCCGATGCGGGACTCGATTCCGGGACTCCAGGATCATGACCTGAGCCGAAGGCAGTTGCTCAACCAACTGAGCCACCCAGGCGCCCCCCATCAGATTTTTAGAACAGGACTCAAGCGAGCTGTGTACCCTTAACAGAGAATGGAGACCATGAAGGCTGTTCTTTTGTATGACCACAAGATGGCAGCACCGATCCCATAAAACTCAGTTCACAGAGCACGGTTTCTGTAATAATGACTTTGAAGGAGGCATGTTGTTGTAGGTTAGGTTATTTAAAGGATTCTTACAAGATCTGGATGTACAGGCTATGACCAACAGTGTGTGCTCAACTTTTTTTGAATTTTTTTTTTTCCGTCTGAGCCCTTCCTGTGGGTTATGGATATAAAGCAGGGGTTGGCAAACTACAACCCACCAGTCAAATGCAGCCCACAGCCTGTTTTTGTAAATAAAGTTATATTGGAACACAATCGTGCCCATCATTTACGTCTTGTCTCTGGCTACTGTTTCATTGCAAAGGCAGAGTTGAGTAGTAGTGACAAGGACTCGTGGTCTATAAAGCTGAAAATATTCACCATCTGGCCCTTTACAGATAGTTTCCCTGAGAGAGTATGACTGGAATTGCTCACAATTTGCCCCTTTAAAGACAGTCACTATTTTAGGGGTGTTTCTTTGTTAAAAAAAGATTGCGCATGTATGTGTGCATTTTGCAAACTTTTATTAAAATTGTTTTAATTAAAATTTATTTGCATACAAGTATTTTAGAAATGCTTGAGTATAGAATATAGAGTATACATATATATAGTAGGTGTCCCATCTTTTATATGATGGAGTTTTAAACCAACTGACCTTTACCTACTACGTATTACCTCCTTTAGACCAGTCACCTTTGAAGGCTGAGTGTTAAACCCACACCTACCGGCGTTCAAAACATATTAAGATTTCCATTTTGGAATCATTCTTAGAAGATTCATTGACTCCTTTGCTCTTTTTCCGGTTGAACGATACGTTGGATCTATTTGTTGGGTGAGGTGCTCAAAGTCATTATGACGACTGGGCCATGACTGTGTTCTCAAACTTAAATTTTAGCGAATGCTCTGGTTTTTAATCAGTTTCCCTTTCAATATTTTGCAATGATTGAAAATCCTTCAGAGCAAAGTCTTCTCAAGTCCAAGTCAGATCACCAAACTGGTTCAAGATGAAAACAAGAAATTTGGGTCACTGTGTTAGTTTGCTTGTCAGGTCTCTAAGTCGTCTTCAACATTAATAAGTTCCAGAAGAATTCTCAAATGCTTTGGGCAGTCGCAGCCCAGTTGGTGGGGCTGAAGGGGGAAGCCTGAGTCTCCGCCTCTCTGCCTTCTGGTTGCTACTGCTTCCTAGTCCCCATTTAACCGTGAAGAATAAGAGGCAAGTAAACAGGATAAAATAACCTGAAAGACTGCTCCATAATGAGGCAGAGATAAAGCAGTGTCTAAGGTCAGCTGCAGTTAAAATAGCAAAGAAAACAACTAGCAAAATGGTACAATGGGGAGGCTGGACTATAGCCTTAGTCTAAATTTAGAAGTAGCTAAAAATAAGCATCCTGAGCGGCAGGTTGGAGGTCTGGTGCAGGGACCATCTTAATGGTGGTCACAGTGCATGGTTGGCAGCCTTGGTGGAGGGCCTGGCAGTGTCTCAGGGACCCGGGGGTCCACGTGAGCCTTAGCGGGTGCCCGGCCATAGGAGGCTGGCCTGGCTGCTCACCCTATCCTACGAGCCCAAGTAGGCAGGCTTGGTCCAGTCCTGCCCTCAGAACCCAGACTGAAATATGGAATGAACTTGCAGGGCTGGATTATTTCTGAGCCCCCTTTTCTCGTGGAAAGGTTTGTTTCCTCTCTGAAAGCATCACACCCTAGTGGCTAAGAATGGGCTCTGGGACCAGGTTTCTCAGGACTAAGTCCTGTTTCTGTGTTTATTAGCTTCCTCTCCCCAAGCCCCGGTGTCCTCATGCATAAAATGGGGATATTACCACAGTACTATCTCACTAAATTGCTGTGAGGATGAATTGAGTTATAAAAGTAAAGTGTTTAGAATAGGCCTTAGGAAGTGCTCGATAAATGTTACATATTCGAAGCACAATCTCTTATGGGGACATGAGGATTTTCTGGCTTGGAACCAGAGGCTGCTCATTTCTGATCTCACTGGTGTCTACTCCATCCACCTCAATCTGCAACAGGTGAATTGTCTGATTACTATGTTTATGAATACCTTACTTATTTTCCTCTCCTGGGTGGAAAGAAATGACAGACATCTGGGCCCCTTTTCAGAGATCATGATTCACACGGTCTGGACTGGGGCCTAGGGTGCATTTGTTGTGGTTTTGCTTAAAACTTGGGGGATTCTAACGTGCAGCTAGGATGGGGATCTACCACGTCGGGTTACCAACTGTCCTTTGGTTGTTGATCCCCTTTTTGTTGTCTTGGTGGAATGTTATGGTTACATGCAAACCATATGTAGTGGTATTTGTTGATACCATATCGTGGTCTGAGATTTTGTTCTTTTAAAGATTTACTTATTTATTTAAGTAATCTCTACACCCCACGCGGGGCTCGAGCTCAGGACCTGGAAATCAAGAGTCACATGCTCCATTGACTGAGCCAGCCAGGTGCCCCTGAGATTTTTGTAATGAAAATCTGTTAGGTGATGTGGAATGCATCTCCGGACTCTCTCCTTGTATAGCAAGGAAGCGTGGTTGAATGTTTTGCTGTGTTGGCTTAGAAAACCAGGGACCTCATCCGGAGGGTTCTCTCTAAGACCTAGTTTCCCATTCTCAGTCACTGACCATCCATGGGTCCTTGTTGAAATCTTTCTTGAGCTACTTTCATCCTTCTTTTTTTAATATTTGTTTACTGGCACACTGGTAAGAAAATGGAGGAAGGATGTCTAGACAAAAAGACAGTCCCTTGAGTGACTGTTATTATAGAAAGAACCTTGGAGCAAAGGGGAAGCTGGGGTAGGAAGTTGCAAAACTGTTTGTGTGAGGTTTCCAAAAAGCTTCTTGAATGTTCCTGTGTGATTTATTTTGAATACCGGTCTCATCTGGAGCTACTAACGTTTTGGGCCAGATAATTCTTTGTTGTGGGGGGGCCCGTCCTAGACACTGATGTTTACCAGCGTTAATATCTTCTGATGTTGCCAAATGTCCCCTGAGCAGCAAAATCTCCCCCTTTTGAGAGCCACTGGCCTGATTTATCAGAAGGTAAACCTACTTCACCCAGTTAGGGAACTATTCACAGTGAACATCAATATAGGAAAGCAAATCTGGATGTAAAATAATTTTTAAAGGTTTTATTAAACATTTATTGAGGGAATTCTAACACAAATACCCTTTTCTGGCATCTCCCTCCCACTCCTCCCCCCTCTTTTGAGTCAGGGGAAGAGCAAAGAACGAAGAAATGCTTAGTTTGAGGCCTTTGTGCCAAATGTGAGTAAAACTATTCTGGCAGAAGATATGTATCACTGAGATTAACTCCTGAAACAAAGGTATTTCAGTTAGTCATTATGCAAAAGCCCACATTTTGTGCAAGTTGTAAGAATCATACCAGTGGCATCGATGATATCTTTCCAAGGTTGCAGAATATCTGTTGTGTCTTACACTTTAAATTCTGCCATCAAGGCTCACA